CCTTCTTGAAGGTTTGAAATGAATGAAAAATCCATGAGGATGATGGTCAGACTAGATAACCTTAATACTGTGCCAGACTATGATGCATTTATTCTGTGAATAAAATCATACAGCTTCCTTGTACTGAATGTATCATTTGGACAAATGGGTACAGAGAATATATTTACAAATGAAGCAGAATAACTAAACTCAATAGTTTGCAAATATGAACCTTAGTAATTTTTCCACAGCTTTCTAAGTAGGAAAAGTTTTAAGACCGGTAAGTGCTCCATTATATGAAAAAAATTTCCCAATTTCTCTCTCAATTTTTTGATACTAATCTTCTGTGCCCCTCTTTCCTTTTTTCTCAGCACACATACACACGTAAGTTGTAATCACTGTAAAGATTACTGACTCATATTTCTATAATGCCCTCAGTTCTTTCCCAGATTTAACTGAAAAACAAAGGCTAAGAGTTGCTGATGGAACATCTCTTCTTGGTATACAAAAAAAAAAAAATGCAGATTTGAAAAAGAGCAGTATGCTAGTCTAGTGTAAGTCACTCAGTCATGTCCAAATCTTTGCAACTCTATGGACTATAGTCCTACAGTCCATAGACAGGGGCTTGTATCAATCTAATTTTCTTGATTACAGTTTCATATGTAACACATTCATCACCTATGATCATCTTTTTCCCTTCAGATCTAGGTAAAATTAAACCAATTCCCATTCCACATCCTACTGAAAGTCTAATGTGAGCCTTAAGAAGCAGGTAAAGTGGAGATGTGTGTTTGGGATGAGGAGGGTAGGTTCTTTTGTTGCCACCAAATTCTTACTTCTGCTAGATTATCTCAGCATGTGATCCATCTCATAGTCTCCACAAACTGCCAAGTTCTACTCAATATCTACCACATGAATGAATTAGCCCCTTTCCTTTATGTCCACCAGAAAACAAGAAGGCAACAAAGAAACAAAAAGGAGTGTTCATACATATATTAATACAATAGTGAAAGTGAAAGTATTAGTCGTCCAGTTCACTCTTTGCCAAATCCCATGACTGTAGCCCACCAAGCTGCTCTGTCCATGGAATTCTTCTGGCAAGAATACGAGAGTGGGTTGCCATTCCCTTCTTCAGGGGATTGTCCCAAACCAGGGATCAAACCCTGGTCTCCTGCATTGCAGGCAGATTCCTGATGGTCTGAGCCATCAGCGAAGTCGGGTAACATTAATGCACTACCATATGTAGAAGAGATAGCCAGTGGAAAGTCGCCGTATAACACAGGGAGCTCAGCCCAGCGCTCTGTAACAACCTAGACGGGTGGGGTAAGGTCGGGGGCAGAAGGGAGGCTCTGGAGGGAGAGGACTTATGTATACCTGTGGCTGATTCATGTTGGTGTCCAGCAGAAACCAACGCAACATTGTAAAGCAATTATCCCATTGAAATTCTTTTAAAAGGAGTGTTCACATATTCTTTTACTAAAGTAGACTTCATAGACGTTTTGGAATAACAGGGAATTTATATTATAAGAAAACACACGCACACAACACACATACACACACACCCCTCAGAATGGAATATCAGACATCTTTCTTCAAGTGTTCCTTTCCACTAAGTGGGTTCCAGCTTCTAAAAAGTTCTATAGGTCTCCCCTCTTTGTTTTACTTCACTCAGAAACAACTCCTTATTTTTAAACAGAGCAGTATGGCAATGTTAACATTTATTAATAATCCAGCAAAAAAAAAGTCATCTTTGATATTTCCTTTCCTGTATTCCCTATAACTAAACTGTCCCCAAATCTATTTTTGTTCTTCAGACGTCATTCAGAGTGAACTTTTCTTTCCTTCTACCTGTTCTATAGTCTAAATCCACTAATCTACCACACTGTTCTCTGTGTTTCCCTGCAGTGTCAGTCAGTTCAGTCACTCACTCTTTGTCTGACTCTTTGTGACCCCATGGACTGTAGCATGCCAGGCTTCCCTGTCTATCGCCAGCTCCTGGATCTTGCTTGAACTCATGTCCATTGAGTCGGTGATGTCACCCAACCATCTCATCCTCTGTCATTCCCTTCTCCTCCCACCTTCAATCTTTCCCAGAATCAAGATCTTTTCCAATGAGTCAGTTCTTTGTATCAGGTGGACAAAGGATTGGAGCTTCAGCTTCAACATCAGTCCTTCCAATGAATATTAGGACTGATTTCCTTGAGGATTGACTGGTTTGATCTCCTTGCAGTCCAAGGAACTCTCAAGAGTTTTCTCCAACACCATTGATTTCTCCAACTCCAACACCATTGATTCAAAAGCATCAATTCTTCAGCACTCAGCTTTCTTTATGGTCCAACTCTCACATCGATACATGACCACTGGAAAATCCATAGCTTTGACTACTACCTGACCAAACACATGAAGCTATATTTGCTCATACTCCTTACTTAAAAGTTTAAAATGTGCCAGCAATTCTTTTTTTTTTTCCATTTATTTTTATTAGTTGGAGGCTAATTACTTTACATCATTGCAGTGGTTTTTGTCATACATTGAAATGAATTAGCCATGGATTTACATGTATTCCCCATCCCGGTCCCCCCTCCCACCTCCCTCTCCACCCGATCCCTCTGGGTCTTCCCAGTGCACCAGGCCCGAGCACTTGTCTCATGCACCCAACCTGGGCTGGTGATCTGTTTCACCCTAGATAATATACATGTTTCAATGCTGTTCTCTTGAAACATCCCACCCTCGCCTTCTCCCAGAGTCCACAAGTCTGTTCTATACATCTGAGTCTCTTTTTCTGTTTTGCATATAGGGTTATCGTTACCATCTTTCTAAATTCCATATATATGTGTTAGTATACTGTAATGGTCTTTATCTTTCTGGCTTACTTCGCTCTGTATAATGGGCTCCAGTTTCATCCATCTCATTAGAACTGATTCAAATGAATTCTTTTTAATGGCTGAGTAATATTCCATGGTGTATATGTACCACAGCTTCCTCATCCATTCCTCTGCTGATGGGCATCTAGGTTGCTTCCATGTCCTGGCTATTATAAACAGTGCTGCGATGAACATTGGGGTTGTGCTGGCAGTTCTTAACTTTCCACCCAAAGTTTAAGAGGCCTCTTATACTTAGACCAGCTCTGTGTTTTTCCAAGTTAATTTCCTAACACAGGCTACAACTCACACAAAGCATCACCACTGCCCATACCTTCTTGCCTTTGTTCTTAATAATTCACATTCTATGGCAGTTCCCTGTATCTCCTTTGTTTATTCAAATTTTACCCCTGTTTGAAGATCCCGCTCCCAATTCCATCCCCATCTTATAGATTTCAAACTTAAGCTTCTCCCCCATTTCATCATACAACTGTTCAGACAGTGACACGTGGGTAAGAATACAACTGCTTCAAAGATTTTTTATTTGTTTGCTTGTATGTTTGTTTCCTAAACTTAACTTGAACTCATAGGAATAGAGAAGATTTTATTTTATGTGTCATTGTGTCCAATCACAGAGCTAAGGCTAAGTAAGTCTGGATATATAGAAGCTATTTGGGTTTATTGAACCAGATGGTAGCTAAGAACTTAGGCTGGGGATGGCCACCACTTACTCAGTGTGAGATGTCAAGGCAACTTTTAAAGTTTCTTCAGGGTTTTGTTTGTAAATGTGAGTAACTGGGTCACCATGAAGATTAAGTGATATGAGACATATAAAGCACTTGAGCATAATGTCTTCAGCATTTTCAGTTCAGTTCAGTTACTCAGTCATGTCTGACTCTTTGCAACCCCATGGACTGCAGCACACCAGGCTTCCCTGTCCATCACCAACTCTCAGAGCTTGCTAAAATTTATATCCATCAAGTCGGTGATGCCATCCAACCATCTTATCTTCTCTCGTCCCCTTCTCCTCCTGCCGTCAATCTTTCCCAGCATCAGGGTCTTTTCTAATGAGTCAGTTCTTCGCATCAGGTGGCCAAAGTATTAGAGTTTCTGCTTCAGCATTAGTCCTTCCAATGAATATTTGGGACTGCATTTTACATTTGGCATTTTAGCCAGACGATTTTTAAGGATCAAGTAAAAAACGCATTTGAGGCAATATACTCCCAACACATGCACTTCACAAATAAGAATATTAAGTTTCAGAGAAATTAATTAAACTGAAAGACTAGATTCTTCTTCTAGGAAAACCAGCTGGTGACTTTCTCAAGGAACTTATTGGCTGGGGGCTGACCAATGACCCAAACTCCTGACTCAAAGCCCATTGCTCTTTTTGCAACTTTCCAATGCCACTAGGATTAATTTGGAAGTTTAGAAACCTTCAGTCGATTTACAAAAGTTTTACGTCAGAGGTTGTACTTGGAGTATCATGAAAACTCTATAGAGAATGGCTTTTAAGATGGCTTTAGATCATTTTGAAAACATTTTAAAAATTGATAAAGAATTAAAAGATGTTATCTGTATTTTTAAAAAAATTAGAGGACACAATTCTCCCTTAGAATAAAACAAAATGGATTTTAATATTTACCGTCTCAATGCTCTTATACCTCCAAAATACCATCATAAGTTTTTAAAAGTATGTGTGTATGTGTGTTCATGCTCTAAAACGCCAACAAAAGTGTGTACACACAATCATAAACCTTTGCTTGTTGAGTGGGGAAGAGAAATCTACATCACCTGTTGAATTGGTTTCTACACTGACATCCTAACTCTTGATAACCCCAGAACTGACAAGGCTCCACAATGAAAACTGGGTAAATTCAGGCAGAGTGTCAATTAGAGGAGTTCCCTGTAGCTCACCTCTTACATAGAAGAATTTCAGACACAGTGGGTGACTTCAAGAGGCCATCAGGGTGCCATATCTCCTATGGCACAATCTGTAACGGTTACACCCCACCAGGCAGTACATGGTGGGAGTTTGCTGTCTATATCCAGCTGTATCATACATATCATCTTGGGCCAGTCCTCATTCTCCCCACCTACACCCGTGCCTCCTCATACACACATGCACACACACACACACACATACATACATGCACATACTTGGAAACCTCCAGGATATCTGCCTGTAGAAACTGTATAATGATTGTTAGAGCAGAGTCTCACTGACAGTTTGATTCATTTCTTGGGAATTCTGAAAGAGTAGAAACAAAACAAAGCCTGTATCATCTATGCTCAGACATACAAGGAAATTTTAGAAACTAGCTAGCATTTACCAAATACTTTTCACATTCCATCTATTTTTCAGGGACTCTAATGTGGACAGTATTGTTTACTTCTGTTCTATGAACAATTCTGTGTCCATATGCTGCCATAGGACCCAATAGATGCTCAAAAAATACTTAGCAAATGACTTCTAAATGAACTTGTCCAAGGTCCCACAATAAATCAAACTAAGATGACATTGACTCCAAAGAACATATTCTTTAGCTAGTAAACTATACCACCTCACAGTGTGTTCAGTCGCTCAGTTGTGTCCAACTCTTTAAGAGCCCATGGACTGTAGCCCACTAGGCTCCTCTGTTCATGAGATTTTCTGAAGCAAGAGTACTGGTTGCCATTTCCTTCTCCAGCGGAGCTTCACAACCCAGGAACTGAATCCATGTCTCCTGCACCTCCTGCATTGCAGGTGGATTGTTTACCCCTGAGCCACCAGGCAAGTTTCAGAATTGTATGCATAACCCCAACATATTCAAAGAAAAGAAAACTATGTTTGTTTGTTTGGTTTTTCTGGCAGGCTCTACTCATACCACATTTCACCCCCTGCTCCAGCTGAAACTTTAAACGGGAAGGAGAAGTGGGTAGATTGTGACAAAATATTCAGTGTTATTATACATTCTAAATAGTTATTAAAAACATATTGATGGAGGAATGATTCATGATTTGTATAAGAGTAAGCTAAATATCAAAGCAGCAAAACTGTTTTACCCCAAGCATTCTTTTTAACTTCTACTTTTTTTACATAGCAGACAACAGAATCTACAAAGAAATATTTAAACCCATACAGCAGAGTGTGGAGTTGAAAAGCGATTTTCAGAGTACTGTGAAAATCTTATAGGCCCCCTCTCTGGAACTTAGGAACTTTGGACAGCTCCAGAACCTGTTCAGGACTCCTGAGCAATACACACAGCTACTCTAGTGCCCAGAGTAGGAAAACAAGATGAGGTCAGATTCCTCTGGGAAACTTTCAGAATGGCCTCCACTTTGGTAAAAATAGCTGAAGGTCATATATAATAATCTGGCACTCCTGTGGAAAGATTGCTTGTGGTCTACTGGCGCAAGCCGTTGCAGTTTGTTCCATGGATATTAGGCTCCAGATTATTCACCACAATGTCCCCAAGGCCTTATTTACAGTGGAAACTCAGTAAATCCTACTTCTCTGCATCAATAACACAATACTAATTAGACAAATGCAGACAAGAAATCTGTACTTGCCTAGAAAACTCTGTTTAGTATTGAAGAACACGACGGTCTGAAATTAGGATCTCACTAAAATGTTTCATCAGGCAGACCTAGTTTTGCTATAAATAAGCTACCTCCCACATGTATCTGAAACTTATTTATTCCTCCCCCAAATTGCTGGCTGGCCATAATAGAGTCATCACTGTAACACAGAATGGATCTTGCGCAAAGACTTCCTCCTGAAGCATATTCACCAAATGGTCACAAGATTGTGGAATGTTAGGAGTGACAGACAATCATTCAGTTCAACTCTTTCATTTCAGAGACAAAAAAACTGAAGTCCACAAGTTCAAATAATTTACCAAAAGTCACGCAGGTAAGTGCATCCTGTTTTTCTGTCCTGTTCATTCCCTATTTTCATACAACTCCATCTCAGCCTGCCTCCCCTCTCTTCTCTGGCCATGGCCCTTGTTTCACTATAGCCCCAGCTGCAGTCTACAAAGGAGGTGACAAACCCAAGCCACCCTCTTCCTGCAAGCAGATTCTCACCGGAAAACTGGCACTTGGTGCTTGGCAGAGAATTGCTAAAAGCAGGAGCAGAGAAATGGCCACCATCTGGACAGTGTGTTGCTTGATGCCAAATGGGCCCCAGCCATGGGGAAGGAGGAGAAAGGAAGGGTGTCACCCGACTGCACACATTTATTTTCATTTCGAGGGGATTTGTTAGTAACCACGTTGCTTGAGAGGAAGCTGTTGTAGGTGGTTCTGATGGCTGACAAATGTGTAGGCAAGGATGAATCAAGGTGAGGGGTAGCCAGGCAGTTTGCAAATGATTTGTGAGCCAGAAATTGTCAGTGGTATCTGATTACTCTGTACAAATGAAAGGATGCATTTTTGAACGGTAAAACAATATCAGTGCTTTCCCCTACTTATACCCTCCTCTTCCTTTTTAGTAAGCATGAGAATTTCTCTGACAGTACCTAGAAAAAAAATCTTTTTTTTTTTAACACGGGCTTCCCTGGCGGCTCTGTGGTAAAGAACCAGTCTGCAATGCAGGAGATGTGGGTTTTTCCTCACTGGGAAGACCCCCTAGAGAAAGAAATGGCAACCCACCCCAGTATTCTTGCCTGCGAAATCCCATGGACAGAGGAGCCTGGCGGGCTACAGTCCATGGGGTCGCAAGAGTCGGACACAACTAAACGACTAAACAACAACAATCCACCAACATTTCTCTCTTATTCATAAATTTTAATCGTATTAACATTTTCCTATGTTTCAGCTACGCTTCCCACCTGTGAAAACCACCCTGATGTACATGATGGTTTTCAGTGGTCAATTAGCAGCATCAGAGTGGCTCCAGAGGTTTTCCTCTTAGCGATCCCGACTTCCTATGCACATACTGGTTTGGGCAATAGTGTTCAAGTAACGCAGACTTAATTATTACTGTCCATGTTAATTAAGAAGATAGCTTGAGTGAACTACATGACATTGAGGGCATGGGTGTTTTAAAGTGTCTTCCCCGCTTTAAGAATTATATTGAATTTTCAATCATATATCCACAAAACATCATCTCCACTGTTGGGCATTTTAGTTTGCAAAGCACATTCACATACGTGATGCCATTTTAATTTTGACCCCAATAATTTGATGTTGGCAATTATTCCTATTTTATAGAAATACAAAAAAGCTTACCAAATAGAACTCAATGCCTGAGAAGCATTGTGTCATGTGGATCAAGAACACACACTGGAATCACATCCAAGCAGACTTGGATCTCAAAACCTCTTGTGACCCAGGACAAATGAATGAACATCTCCACATTTCAACGGCAGCAATTTCTGCCTCTAAGACTCATGTGCGTCCAAATAAGGAATAATAGGAAGATCCTTGGCTTCCCAGGTGGCTCAGTGGTAAAGAATTGGCCTGCCAGTGCAGGAGACAGGGGCTCAGTCCCTGGGTCAGGATGATCCCCTGGAGGAGAAAACCCACTGCAGTATTCTTGCCTGGAGAATCCCATGGACAGAGGAGCCTGGCGGGCTACAGTCCATGTGGTCTCAGAGGGTCAGACACAACCTAGTGACTGAGTGTGAGCATGAGGAAGATCCTTGGTGTGGAGGCACCTGTTTATGCCTTTTCCTTTTTTAAACTAATTCCAGGTCTCATGCTTTTCTATTACAATGTTACCTTCTCTTTCCTCTTTTTTTTTTTTTTCTGACATCTTTATGATCAGTGAGACACTTTCTGAGATATTTGTATGAGATTATAAGAATAAAACCTTTAACTCTGGAACTCAGCCCTGAGGAATTACAGAGAAAAAAAAATATGCTACAAACTTGAGCTAACCAACCCAATCAACACTATTATTAATGGAACAAAGTTGGAATCAGATATAAATTTTTAGTGTATTAAAGCCTCTATCTCCCAAACTTAATGTGGTCATTTTCCTTTTATTTTTTAAAGGGCTTTTAGTCTATAGCCATAAATAACCAGAAGGTAATGTTTCTTTTTTCAGTTTTACAGTGATTTAAATTCATATTTAGTAAAAGTAGGCTACTCATAACCAAAATGCTGAAGTCTAATAAGCTTCTTCTATAATGATTTTTATCTTATTTGTTGCTGCAGTAATATGAAATCTAATGACGAAGCCAAAAAAAAAGTCAACTGCTGCAGCTGATTCATTCAAAGTCTATTCAAGCTCGAATGAGAGCCTCAAGGCAAAATCCTCAGTACTTGGGAGTATCCTTTTGGTTCATCAGGATTCAATGTCTGTGAATTAAAATCTGATGCCTTTAATAGTTAATTCTCCAGTCAAGGAGAAAGCACTGCATCCTTACTAATAGAAATCCATGTGTTATACTGTGTGTTTCTTTGAATACAACCTAGGGTGGATGACCACACAATTTCATTATTTTTTAGCAGACCATAAGTTCTACTCGCAAACTGCAGGCAGAAGAGATTTCCTCCTCACTAGAAAGGAATGCTGCTGCCCACTTATCATGTTTTCTTCCATGCAGACAGTGCTACGTTATTGTGACCCTTCTAGGCCCTCTTCTCCCCTTCACTCCTTCTTCTCAAGGAAGTAGGAATAATGCAATGCATTATTCTTAAAGGGAAAATCTGGAAAGTACAGTCCAGGCTTACTCCTCCCATTTTCTCTTCAAGAAATGACTTTTTTCCAGTAGCCTGTAATCTGGCAACACCTGACACCAAGGACATAGGATGTTGTTTCATAGCTCCAAAAACACGTGGTGCATCTAGATAGAATTACCAAAACCTGGCAATTTACCAAGTGATTACAACATTTTTTTAAATTGGGGTATAAAATTGAGGTTGCTGTACAATGCTGTCATAGTTTCCACTGTACGGTGAAGTGAATCAGTTGTATGTATACATACATCCTCTCCTCTGTGGACCTCCCCCCCACCCAACCCCCACCTCACCCATCTAGGTCATTACAGAACAAGCTGAACTCCCTGTGCCATAGAGCAGCATCCCACTAGCTATCGTTTGACACATGGTAGCGTATCTATGCCAATCCCAATCTCCCCACTGCCTCCCCGACTGTGTACTAAGGTTTGCAATGATCTTTATGGCTATAATAGAATTAATATCTACTTTTGAAGGGATAAAAACACCCAGTATTTAATATATCTTTTTATACATTTACTTAATTGAATAAAGCCTGCTACTCCAACTCCAAAATTACAGAAAGGAAACCCTGATTAAACCATT